GAGCTCATTTCACCGCGCAACGCGCATCGAAAAAGGTACACTCAGTTAGCGAGATCATCACACAGAAGGGGTAACGCACGGGGGCGGAGACGCAGTACACCACAGCATCATCTCCGGGACTACCAGAAGGCACCACCACGGCACAGCACAGCGCACGGGCACCTCGGATTGCCCCGTGGAACACAAACTCGTGCCACACCTGCCTGCTGCCCGCCCAACAAAGAAAGAGAAGGAGAAGAACAACACATTCGCACATCTCGCACAGTGTCGGCGCCGACGGGGAACTGATCTGCCACGGCCGGCTTCTTCTGCTGTGCTCGCACGCAACAGATCTCACGCATCTCAGGATCCCGCAGCGGACACCGGTGTGACACCCGTCGGGAGCTTTTAATACGTTTGACACATACACAACCCACATCTCGCGTGACGACAAGGCCCTTACGCGCAACGGCAGTCTTCTGCACGGGGCTGGTGCGCCCGCTGCAGACGTGGGGCAGGAAGCTGTCAGAGAGGCCCCGGGAAGGGCCAACCGCCAGAGCTCATTTCACCGCGCAACGCGCATCGAAAAAGGTACACTCAGTTAGCGAGATCATCACACAGAAGGGGTAACGCACGGGGGCGGAGACGCAGTACACCACAGCATCATCTCCGGGACTACCAGAAGGCACCACCACGGCACAGCACAGCGCACGGGCACCTCGGATTGCCCCGTGGAACACAAACTCGTGCCACACCTGCCTGCTGCCCGCCCAACAAAGAAAGAGAAGGAGAAGAACAACACATTCGCACATCTCGCACAGTGTCGGCGCCGACGGGGAACTGATCTGCCACGGCCGGCTTCTTCTGCTGTGCTCGCACGCAACAGATCTCACGCATCTCAGGATCCCGCAGCGGACACCGGTGTGACACCCGTCGGGAGCTTTTAATACGTTTGACACATACACAACCCACATCTCGCGTGACGACAAGGCCCTTACGCGCAACGGCAGTCTTCTGCACGGGGCTGGTGC